GATATATCAATGCATCTTTTATAATTAGTTATGCCAATAATTAATAACCAAACAACCAAATCATTCTTTCACTCTTATAACTATGCTTTGTTAAGCATTATATCTTATAAGTATGTAATTTTCTTATTACCTATGGTAGACTTGTTGATATGGCAAGAAACTAGTACATGTTATAACAAAGTCTAATTATTATGGATTTTTTTTTTATTATTATTGTGCCAAAGATTAGAAGAAATCTTTGCTTTTTATATCAATCAATAATTTTGGATACATTACTATAGATATATCTATTATGAATTAGATAAAATTTAAATTTGAATTAAGCTTTATATGATCAATCATTAATCTACAACCTAATCATTAGGCAAATATGAATCTAGCAACTTTCTTGCTATGTATAATGTCTACACATAATATAAAAATAAATAAATCAATAAATAAATTTAATATAATATTTTTGCAACCTCCAACTTTAATCAACCATACTAATTGATTCATGAATTCCAACAATTCTAACATAGATTACAAATCAAAACTAGCAATATAATATCAACTTTTTAAATAAAATAAAATAAAATACAAACTCACTACTAACAAAGCATCTAGAATTGCATATAAATTTGAATTGTGCAAGAGCATTAAAGTGGACATTAATATCTACAACTCAATTGAAGTAATTTCACCTTCATATCATTTAGATTAAATAATTTCATCTTATTGTCTATAATTCAACCAAAGTAATTTCACCATGATGTCAATGACTCAACTAAAGTAATTTTACCTTCATATCTAGAATTCAATAAATATCCACAGTGTTCAAAATTTAATTAATTCAACATGATTACAAGGTTTAGGATTTAGTTGGATAAAAAGATAGAAGTAGAATAGCAAAGAATTAAGAGATCTAATTTTCTTTCTATTTTTCTTGTCTTCTTTACTTTAAATCTTAATTTTAGATATTAGATAGATAAAAAAAATAAAAAATAAAAAAATAAACATCTTTGTATGAAAATGAGACGATTGATGAGAGCCATGAGTGGCATGAACTTATTGATATGGCATTTGATTACTAACTTGCTATATAGATTTTAAGATCCTTCCTAAGACTTTAGTTGCTGCTCTCACTATCTTCCATACAATAATGTGTGCTTATTTAAAAGTGTGCATTTGTAAAACCTTCAATATACTTCTTTTCTAAATTCATAATCTACATAATCTTCAATAGTTGAATGATAGCAAGACTTTAGCCTTATGCATTGCCATGAAGCCTTGAAGTATAGATAGCATACAATTTGGTACTAATATGACTACTAAGTTCAAGAATTGAAATTGGTAAGATATTCAAATATAGAAGATTGTGCCAATTCAGCTAATATGTATAAATCTTTCTTATAAGAGACATAGAGGAGTCAACTATTGTGTAGATGTATAGAATGATAATGCACAAGATGTTGCCAATATAATAGCCAATTAAGATCAATCAAATAGACAATATTATGAGAGTATCCAAAAATATAGATATAATTGAAAATTGTTGTATTGTAATATAGCTATCAAATAAAAAATAAAAATAAAGATTATATTATAGAAGGACTTAATTAAAAATTAAATAGAAATTTACCTTAGAAGCATAAATAATAGCTAAAGAAGTAATAAAATTAATAAATGCTTATGTTGTTTTTTTAAAAAATAAGCTTCTATTTACTTTTTATTACTATAAATGGAGCAATTTAATGTAGATAAGAAAAATAATACATGTAGGCATCTTTATAAAATAGTTAAGAGTAGTTTGTAGCAAAAATTATCTTAAGAAATCAAGATTTAATATACAAAGAAGGACAATTGTGAAACAAGGTCATAATTGGATCTTTAAGCACAAACTATATACATATGGCATTTTTAGGTCTCTTTGGTTGATTGAAGAATGAGATTAGAAAGCAAACTAAAGAAAAGTTCTTTAAGCATTGGTTTTGAGTGATTTGAGTTTTTAGTAAATTTATGAAGGATTTAAAAAATTAAGGTTATTTTAGATTAACTTGAATTTTGAAAAATATGAAGAATATATACTTAAGAAAATTTTATGAGATTTTTAAATGATTTACAAGTAAATTTTTTTGATTAAGTAATTATTATTGTATTAAATATGTATTCTAAGTTTAAGCTTGATTTAATGGTTTATTTAAAGTTTATTATATTTTAAAATACTAAGATCTTAGGAATTGGAGTTTAAAAGAGTAGTGAGGGTTTCTATGATTTGCAACAATCTTCTAGTTGGATTGAAATAAACATTTATAAAGTTGTTCTTGTTTCTAACTAAATTGTTGAGATGTGTATAAATTTTGAGCTGATATCAATGATTTGATCATTAGTTGTTGAAGTTTCAATCTACTATAGGGATTTTTAAGACTTTATTTAAGACTTAGAATTTGGTTTAGGATTTGATTATGATTTGATTGAGATTTGATTATTATTTGGTTAGGATTGATTTAGGATTTTTTTATAACTTGATTAAGATTGATTTAGCATTTGATTAGGATTTGGTTAGAATTTAGACTTTTTTTAGAGTTTAATTAGGGTTTATTTAAGATTTTATTAAGGCTTGATTTAAGATTTGGTTAGGATTGATTTAGGATTGATTTAGGATTTATTAAAGGTTATATTAGGATTTTGTTATGATTCAATCAAGATTTTTATTTTTGATATTTTTTAAAAAATATTTCTTGTTTTTTGTAAGGTTTTTATTTTATTATACAAAGTTGCATCTTGTCCGCCAGTGCTGCAAAAAGTTGTTTTGATAATTAAGGAGTAAGATTCAGTAGCACCATTACATTGGTGATCATGCACAAAACCAAGAAGCTTGCAGGGAATCGGTGTCACAGTTGCAGGTTGGTTAGGCAATTAATTGCCTGTGTACTGCACAAGTGACTGCAAGATGAACTCAGTTAAACCTTTTTTTCTTTTTGAAATATCTGATTTTCAGGTTTTATAATTAAACCTAATTAAACCTTCACCCCAAAAAAAACCTACACCTGCCGCCCCTGATTTTTTGAGGATTTTCAGGTCGATTCATATACAGATGCTCAGATTTCTAGCTTGAAAGGAGGCGGATATCAGCGTGGCGTTCATTTTCCTCTTCAATGTCGGTGGCATTGCAAGATGTGTCGGCAGTTGATGTGTACTTTTGGGTGGCCTGTGACATGAAACGTATCACCTGGTAGATTCGTCATTGAACGGTCACAACGAAGGGCCGGTTGCTTCCTTATTTGTGCTGGGTATCGTCTCTTCATGTTTGCCCCTTCAGATCTTTCTTCTGTATCCATGGCTTCGACATGCTGTTCTTCGACTCACCTTGCAGCTCTTTCACAATGTTGTGGTTTGAGTTCCATCTCTGGCCTAGCCCCACCTATCTGTAATATCTGAAAGCTCACTTCCTCACATTTCAATGCACCTGCAACATGTCGTGTACTTGCACCAGGTTTTTCTGACATGCAATCAGAGACAGAAAGAGAATGTTGCGTTTATTCTGAATCACTTTCGATGAAGTAACAATTTGAAATGCACCTACTTATGACGAGATGAACAGCCACTTGGTCGCAAAGCACAAGCGGCTATAGAAACACCTCAATTGTTTATGTGTTTTTGGCTTAGTCTGAGGGAGGTTGAGCAACAACGATGTGGGCAGCACATGAGGGTCGCTTATCAGGAGATGTTGAATGTGTTCCTTGAGTGCCAATTTGTGCTTTGTATCAACTTTCTACCAGTGCATTGACCATGCCTCAAGCCAGCTTCTCTCTGACTTCAAAGCCCAATGTGCACGTTCGTCACCATCATCACAAGTACAGCTTTGATAAATCAGATTATGTAGGATATTGGCAGAATTTGAAGAAGAATAAGGCGTTCAAAGAGCCATACGCCAAGGATGACAATCTCTGGGGCCACCAGCGATTCAGCCCAATGGAATACAAGCCGGACCCTCATTACAGACAGAAGGCCTGGTGGAGAGAGCCTGGAATTCGACCATGGGAGCACGACGAATTGCTCTACCATTCCAGACCTGGGAGAGGTCCTGGGTTGAATCCATGGATCTTGTCCACCTCGGCAAATGCTCCCTTTGCAACATTCGACAATGAACGCTTCCAAAGACAGGTACCTATGTTTGCTCACTCCACCAGATTTTATTGAACTTCGCGTACGAAACCTTTGACTCCCATATTGAATTTGTGTCGCTAAAATTGCTAAGGTTGATGATGGCAGTAGACAAATCCGATGGTGATACCTCCTTGAAAGAAGGACGAGCACCCGCACATGAATTCCAGAGGCTTACTCTGGTCATG